GTGCAAAATCCCGTGACACGGTGGATTAAATGTGCAGATTTACACAAAAAGGGCACCGTGTCACGGGAATAAGCCCCGTGACACGTCAGCATTTTCCGCGTGGCGGCATTTTAGCTGCTGCCCGGTAATTTCAGTTTTTTACCCTTTTTTAAAATAACCATAACTTTTGATCCGTAACTTGAAATAAGACATATAATATATCATTAGAAATCTTATCAAGTCTAATTTCCAACCCTATTAAAATAAGGTAAAAATAATTTGTATATTTTAAGATATGGCCGTTTTAGTGGAAGGGTGTCAGTTTTAGGCCAAGTTTAGTGTTTTGCTCATATCTTTTTCGTTATAGCTCGGAATTGGGCTTATGATATATGGTTGAAAAGCTTATTTAAAGACCTATCCAAAAAAATAATAATTTGATCAAAATTGTATATCCATAAAATCAGTTTCTCTCAGTTTGGCGATGTGGACACGAAAAGTGGAAAATAGGTTATGGTTTAGGGAAATGAGCTAGAAATTGGATTGATTCATGAAATATATTGGATAGAACATGGATTTAAGTACTCCAAGGATAAAATATTCAACCCGACCAATAATGGCGGTGATAGGTGTTCATCATTGGGTTTGGTTTTGGGGAGACATTTTTAGGTGTCTACACCGATAGTCATATAATATTGCCATTTGTAGGGCAACTATTATCCTCATTATGAGGATAATGATTCATCCCCCTCTCTCTTTTTCTCATGTCACAAATACCTTATTTCATTGATAAATACTTTATCTCCTTACAACACCACCTTTATTCAATTATGTTTTACTTAGCTTGACTTTTATCACCCCTTTATTTATCACCCCCAATCCAAGCATCTCTTAACAAGTAATATATATATATATATATATATATAATATATATATATATATATATATATATATATATATATATATATATATATATATATTATGAACAATCAGTGACATATTATATAATGATATTTATTCATTTTATGATAATAGCAAAAAAGTTATTTAACCTAGAGTATGTGAATAATAATGCGTAGTCCAAGTGACTTAAATATTATAAGTTGGAGGGAGTGCACATTTTAAGAAATAAAACATTTCTCTTTCCAAATGAAATCTAACCTAAATTCATGTGACCTTAGAAATAAGAGACCTAAACTTGATTTGAAACTGACATAAAATAAATTGAAATTGAGTACATGGATTTTTTTTTTTAAATAATTTTGGTTCCTCATTTTCTTACAAAAAGAAAATGATAAAATTGGTTTCAACACCCTGAAATATATAGCTTGGGTGAAGCAAACACTTCAAACTTTGACTAGTAGTAAGAACACCATCAATTATTGATTTGGGTGCAATGAATTCCATTATTAGGTATTTTGGGACTTGAACTAAGAGATTTATAGTCAATCGAGAGTAATTAATGGCATGCATTACACCCTAATCAATAGTTAAGTTTAGGGTGTTTGCTGCACTCAAATTACTATACAATGTAATATTTCTATTTTAATGTGGGACAAAGGAGAAACTATATTCTGTTGAAGCACAACTTATTTAATTTGGATTTCTTTATCAAAACTCCAAAACTCTATTCTTTTTAAAGACAACTTATTTGGACTTCTTTATTAAAACTCAAACATGTACTCCCTCCGTTTCTAAATTTTTGCCACATTGATAATATTTGGACCATATATTCTCATTGATCTATATGAAATATTATAATTATATGGGATCTTGTTGGATTCGTCTTATTGCATATTTTTTTAAATATCAAGATTTTATAATTTTTACAAGTATAGAAATGGAGGTGTATACATCTTCTGTCCAAGAATAATTGACATAATTAAATTTTACACACATGCCGATGCACTAATTTGATCTTATTTTTATGTAACTAAATGTTAATGAATCCACTGACACCCCACTTGTTAACCCCTAAATCACCAACCTGCAACCCCTTCACGAACCCACTGATATCCCACCCATAACCCCCCTAAATCTCTAACCCGCAACCCATCTCGTTGAACACGACACGAAAAGGAGTAGGGGTTAGGTAGGATTCGCTAACAGAGGAAGAAGTGAGGTTTGGGTACGTTTGGCATTGAGGGCTAAGTGGGGGTTCGCCGATTAAGGCGGGGTTTGTGTTGGGGGGGGGGGTTAGCTGGTTTATTTTTTTTGGATATAAGTTAATTAGATTAGTTAGGTTCTAATTAAGATTAGTTTTTTTTTGAAAAAATAGACTTAATTATTATTATTATTATTATTATTATTAACTAGGCTAATTAGGATTATAAATTATTTATGCATATATTTTGTAGGTAACCTATCATTGCAAGTCACATACAATTTATGTCTTGTGATAAAAATACGTATCAAATTATCTAGTTCATGTATAATTCAAAGTTTTTCTTGTTTAAAAAAGGTTACCAAAAATTTGTATTATTCTTGTGAATTTTATTATGAAACATTACATAAATTCTTATCTAACATAATATTTTATGATAAAGTATATGTTGTAATTATGTTTATAAAAAAAAAAACTATAGTCAAAGTTAATAAATAAATAGTGAAAAATGTTCAACGTCTCAGTTATTCTTGGACAGAGTGAGTACATTTTAAGACACATCTCAAAGGCCGTAAAAAGTCAAATGGGATACAAAATAGGACAAAAGGAATGACAATTATGCTTTTGATATCATGATAATTTCTTTGGTTTAAATAGAGTGATGTTCCACAATATTGTTAAAATAAAAATGAATTCCCTTTATAAGTCAGTTTAAAAACAAATTCTCCAAATATTGTCCACTTAAGATCGACATTGGTTGCCAAATTTTTTTGATTTGGTTCAGCTTAAAGTCGCTAATGCAGACAACGATTTACCGGTTTTAGGAAAGAGACGACCTTTTTCTATTAACAACTCTCTTTTCCTCTTTACGATGTATAAGGTAAGTACAAAAGAAAAGAGATTTATCAATATACCTATACTAAAGGAGAAACCAGAAATGACACTTGTCATAACCTGGTTAAAAATTTTCCCTCCAAAAGGTGTTTTTTTTTTTTTTTTTTTTTTTTTTTTTTTTTTTTTTGCCAAAGCTTCTTAGAGAAGTATTTAATTTAATACTTACTTTACAATAATATTTCTTTTCTATTTGGCATGTATATTCATTTTTACACATTCAACAAAGATTTATATATTTATTTTATGACGAGAACAAAGTCATGTAATACAATAATGCAATATTATCTATAACTTTGTAATGTAATCCATAGTTATTTTTATTAGTCGTGCATGCATTTCTTCCTCTGTTTTCTTTAAAGATTCAAAAAAAATTGTATTACAGAACTTTCATCCTATTTTGCAATTTAATATTATGTTTTATAGTAAAATAATTGTATTAAACTAATGATAAATATTGAAATTACCATGCATGGCACGGGATCTAAACTAGTTAACAGTGAAAGGCGGTCTCTTTTCCTCCTTACTTAATTAACAATACCTTGTCCACCAGATAGTAAGAGAGCGCCAAGCTGCCAACATTAATATTGCTAAGTTCAAAGAGACTAACTTTCAGTAATAACCGGTCTTTTTGCCTTTTTTTTTAAAAAAAAAAAATACAAAATCAATAATATTGTTAGCGGTTTTAATATAAAATCGTCGACTACATTAGCAGTTTTAAGCCAAATAAAATACCAATCGTACATGAACGTTATTTTGAGAATTTGTGTTTAAATTGGTACATAATGGTTTTTTTTTTCAACAATATTGATGGTAATCGCTCCGTTATACATTAAACAAAAGCAATTACAAGTGAATACATCACCACTTTTATATATATATATATATATATATATATATATATATATATATATATATATATATATATATATATGTGTGTGTGTGTGTGTGTGTGTTTGTGTGTGTGTGTATATATATATATATTAGTTTTTTTTTCCCTAAATTTTACTTTTTATAATAGCGAAAATTCAATTTGTTTTTCAACGGAAACAAATTAATTTTAACTCACATATTATTGGTTACTTGGTTAGATCCAGTGTCATGTACGGTGACCTATAGTTATATATAATTATAGATTATTGATTGAAAAATATAGGTATAAAATCTTACTAATATTTTTTCTTATTCTAAAAGGATCACAAATTATTTTAAAATTTTGATTTTTGGTTAATACCAAATTTATTTAGAAAGATTTGTAACATATTTTTTATTTTAAATATAATTATTACTACGTCTTAATATGGAATATGTATAAAAAAAATATTATTTTTATAAGAGATTTGTTTCCATAATTAATATACTTTTACAAAAAAAAATTATAACTAAAGTCACACCATAAAATGACACGTGTGATTGCTGGTATGTCTTTTAGTATATTATTATTATTATTATTATTATTGGTTAATTGATTATTGATTATATATATATATATATATATATATATATATATATATATATATATATATATATATATATAGTTATAGATCATTTTGCATTTTTGCTCCGTTTTGTTTTAGTTTTTGTTTTGCATGCAAGTGAGTTACGTACAAAACAAAAAGGATTGCATTTACAATAATTTTTGCTTGTCCTATGATTCAATTTGTATTTTTTTTTCTTTCTTTCTTTTTTAATCTGCAAGTGATGTCTTACCACCAACCAAAACAAAGTAACGAGGCATCACATTCCAGTAAAACGACAGAAGCAAAATATGTACAACAAATCTATCCGTAATAACTAAAACATATAAATAATGTTACAAGTCTTACAACTAGGTTTTGTACTGTTCATGTGCATCTTTTTGCTAGCAAAAAGGCCTCATTTTATAATTTTGTTTTCAATAAAGAGCATCAATTTAGGAATGAATTATGAGGCTTCTTATAGAATATAGAGAAACATACAAAGAAGACAAGTAAAGGTAAACAAAACAACTCTATATATAAGCTGTAATGAATGAGTTAATGACATAGATTATTCTTACAATAATTACACTAAAACTTTGAATCTCCATCAATTGCCATTTTGCCAAAAAATTTCGTTACAACAAGAATGGCTAGCAAGGCGTTAGTGGCATGCCAATCTTCAACTCTGGTGTCGAATAGGCCCTTTACCAACCCATTACCAATTGGGCTGATCCCACAATCTTCTGTTGTATCCGCTACACCATCAAACAAACCTTCAAGGTCATCTATGATGGTGCGAGCCCAACAGGCAGGTGGTCAGCCAACTGACCCTGTCCATCCCGTGACAGGTTCACCATTCCACAAAAAAGTCGCCCTCCTTGAAACCTCTCCTTACGGTAAATGTTACACTTATATCACTTTTTTCCTTGTTACATACTAATACATACAATACGTACGTACGTAGCATACTTAATTAGAGTAACACATATAGACACGAGCATAAACAAACTCTAGTACACTTTCATAAATGTTGTAGAAACTCTAGTACCACATTTTCTACAGCATATTTTCTACAACATGCTTTGACAAAAAAATTTAAACAGGTGTGCTTTAAAAAAATTTATAAGATGGTTTTCAACAAAATTTGGTTTTTATAAAATGGTTTTCAATAAATTTTCCTTAAATTTATTACATTTTCTCTTGAAGAGTAAACCAAAATGTTTTCCAATCATATACCTAGTTATATATATGCATAATGCATTAAAGCGTAGACGTAATACTTGTAAGTTGTAACATGTTTGCAGTACGAACTCCCTGGAACACAACAGAGGACGAGCACGAAATCAGGATGTGGTTTGACATGCCGGGGACTAATGCAGAAAACATCGAAGTGGACGTCGTGGATAACTTGCTAGTGATCAAGGGAGAAGGTGGAATTGATGCATTTGGGAAGAAAATCTTTAGCCCCTATGATAGCAGGGTTCAATTGCCTCCTAATTCTTGGAAGGAAGAGATCACTGCTGCATTTAAAAATGGTGTTCTCTACATTACCGTGCCAAAGATTACCAAATTCGAGCACAAAATTATCCAAATTCCAGTTCGATCCGCTTAATTACAAATGAACCGTCACTCTTACTCCGTAGTAGATGTGTGTTATATTTACATACTATGAAAATAAGCTCTGTTTGCAATATGTTCAAATGGAATGACCCATATGTTGTAATGAAACACTTATATACCATATATTATGTATATTCCTTATTATTTAAAGAGTATTTACCTTTGATTTTATTTTTTTTTCGTTAATTGTATCTGTTAGTTGAAACAAACACTACAAGTGGGGTGAATTGTACATAGTTGAGTTTCTAGTGACTACTTTTGCAAAATATAAAACAGATTATAAAGGAACTTTGCAATGCACACAGGATTTTACGAGGAAACCTACCAGAGCCCAACTGGAAGTAAAACCTAGACCCTTCTAAGGGATTTCCAAATTAAATTCATTCACTATAATAAGGCAAATACCAAGTTACAAACCTATTATAAAACAGACCTTACTTACAAGTTCTAAATTGAACTTGCTACACAGTAGGAACCTATCCTACCCAACCCAAGTTCCACACTTGGATTCACTCGTACTATCACAGTACTACCTCACAGCTTTTCACTCAAAGCTCACACTCCTGTATGCAATATAAATTTCACACATACACCTAATAATTCAACCAATACACAATATCGACACCTAGAATATGTTAGGCAAGCAATGCACGAAACCCGGAACTAATATGACAAGATTAAAAGCTTGGCAAACTTACAAAAATTAAGCTCAGAGATGTCTTCACGCACGCATAAACTTTATGAAATGTGATCTCTACTATTTATACAAGATTAACTCGTATAGAAAGTAGGGTTTTTCAAAAGATAAATAAGTTAATTTAACTAAAACGCAAAACATAGTTTTATATAAATCATTTTGAATAAAATCTTTTCGGAAAAATAAGATAAAGAAAGATTTAACAAAAAGAAAAATATCTTGTTGTTAAACGGAATTTAAGAAATAAAATCAATTAGAAAATCTTTACTTAAAATCTATCATTTATCTTTTCCGTTTTAATTAGATTTGCCAAGCAACTTGTCACGCTTCTAATAGGTTTCATGTATATCTTCTTAACTTATTTAACGATAAATCTAGAAGATAAATTTTAGCTAAATAAATATTGTTGTGCTGCGTTTCTGTAATTGTGGATTGCTTGGGCTTCACGGAGACCATGACCAAGTTCCTGCTATCACTTTTGCTCCAGTCTTCAACTGGAATTTCGCAGACGAAGTTCTTTCCAGTATTTATTGTCTTCACCTTGCTATCTCCAAGTTCCTGTTAGGGAACATTCTTGTTAAGTAACTTAGTTCTTGTTAGAGAACTCTTCTTCTATTTTGACTAACTTTTCTTCAAAGGCCTCTTCATGTCTTCTTAGCTTGGGTTACTCTTCCACCACCAAGGTCTACTTCACCTGTACTAATCAAACACTAATAAACCTTTATGAGTTAAGTTTGCTTTAGTTTAACTTCATCATTATCAAAACCTTTAAGCTTCAACAGTATCATTTTTTAGGTACACATTAAACTGTTAATTTAAGTGTGATTTCTTAAGTAGTTAAGTGAGTACGATTAAAAGTAGACCCACTAAAACGTAATTTTCTTTCTTTCTTCTATTTTAGTCATTGGAGAAGGTAGGCCACGGTATTGAGAGATGATGTGTTTAGCTTCTTCAATCTACGACAAAAGTAAAACAAAAGGAAACTAAAATGGATTACTATAATGTTACATAATACTAGTATATACCATTTTTCCTTGTTATGTGGCCCAAAAGATGCTTTATATTGCTACTTTTTGCACTACTATGTAGTGTTTTAGTTTGATAATTGTGCTTGTGTTAAATATGGAAGAAAAAAATATAGAGAGATGAAGGAAGATTGTTACATTGTTTTTCATATTCCATCTAGTACGAGATATATATACATGTACATTACCTAGGGTTCCATCAACGGATAAGACCAAATACCCAACTCTAGAGTATTCTAGATTGTACATAGGATAATAGTCATCAATATTTAGATATTATCATAACAATCCCCCTTGGATGACTATTAACATTTACTATAAAACCCGTACAAAATAATACACTATAATGCGCATAAGATGTTGCCTCGTTAAAAACCTTACCAGGAAAACCCAATGGGAAAAAACTATGGTTAAGAAAAAAAAGAGTGCAGCGCGCATTAACTCCCTATCATGTCTATATCACTTCAGATCTTTAAGACGACGCAATCCAATGCCGTAAGCTAACTTTTTGAATGTTGCTGTCGGAAGAGCCTTAGTAAATAAGTCTGCTTGTAGACACCCAAATGTGTCCCCCCAAAACCTAACCCAGTGATGAGTACCTTTCATGTCATTTGATTATCGAACAAAGCGAAAGTGTAAAAAGTTTAGTGATGAGGATGTTTTTTATTAAAATATCTCTTCTTTCTGTTTTTGAAAATATTTCTTTTCTTACCTTATTTATGAAAAACGAGAATTCCAATTTCGTTTGGTCCATTATAAGGGTCCAATAATGGTGTAGTTGGATGGGGCTTGAAAAGACCTTTCCAACGATATATTATAAGCCCAATTCCGATGAATAATACGGAAGTTATGGCAAAAATATTAAACTGGGCCCGGTTTGGTTTTTATATGCAGCCCAATGATCTATAGGAGGGCCTATTATTAATTATCATTCCTAAATTTATTAGGATTGATTATAGTCTTCTAGGATACTCTAGAAGGTTCTTTTAAATCCTAATGGAGTTAGGATTGATAATTATGTTTTAAAGAGTTTGAAATTGAATAAAGCTACTCCGATCCTTTTAAAGAATCCTTGTTTTGTACGAAGTGGAATATATTTAGATTTTATTTTCGTGCCTCATAATCTTTATCAAAATTTGGTATGGTTGGATAGATCTTGAAATTATCTTTCCAATGATATATTATAATATTAAATCCGAACTATAACGAAAAAGATATGAATGAGATACAAAACTCTATCCAAAACTGACACCGTCCTACTATTTAGGCCATATAATTTTATCTACAAAAAATTTTAATCTGATTCTAATAAGTTTGGAAAGTATACTTCAAGAGCTTTCCAACGACATATTATTTGACTTATTTGGACTTCTGGATCAAAAGATATGATAAAAACAAAATCCACAAAAACTGTTTTCCAGCGCCTGGCGCCACGCCTAACGTCGGCGCCAAAGTGTAGCGTCTGGCGCCAATTCTGGCGTCTGGCGCTAGAGTCTAGCGTTTGGCGCCACGCGCGTGCTTGACGATGAGATCGAGTTTCATTCTCGTCGAAACTCTGATTTGTTTTTTTATCCATCCGACTGATTTTCTCTATAAATAGCCTCTTAAAATTCTGTTTTCAATCATCAATTATCTCTATCAATTCTCATCAATAATCATCAATTCTCATCAATTCTTATTCTCTCTAAATTCTCTTCTCTCTCTAAGCTAAAGCTTTTTCTCTCTCTCCCTCTTTTCTAAGCCTAGCCTTTTACAAACACAATTCCTCATACATTAGCACGAGACACACCTAGCATAATTCAAAGTTGACTTCGCCCTAGACGTGAAAGGTTTTAATTTCTGAGGGTTTGGTCCCAAATATCTCTTTCAATTATTTAATTTAATTGTTGTTAATTATTTTCCTTGAAGTTACTAACGCGTGTATTTTGTTATTAGAAAGAGATATGAGGCATCCAAGTAAGTGCTTTAATGATTTATTGATTTTATGATATAAAAATCATGCTTAGGTTGTTATTATAATTCCTAGTGTCATGTTAGCACGTTTTGATCTTCCTAGTATCATGTTTATGGTAATAACTATAATTTCTAATATCAAATATGATAATTATGATTTCTATGATGATTCCTATATTTTTTCCTAATATTCATGTTAGTATCACGTTAGGGTTAAAGTTTTGATCTTTGATGTTTAGTGACATGCTAGGGTTTGTTATTAATCTTGTTAGTATCATGCCTAGGATCATGTTTTTATTATGCTTTAACATTATTATGATTATTTTTATGATTTATGATTATTATTATAATTATTATTTGTGATGATTATTATGTTGTTTGATTATATTTATTGTTATTGCTTGATCACGCCTTTTATGCATGTTTAAAGGGAATTTGTACTTGTAATAACGCTGAATAAGATAATTGATAACCTTGTTTAGGGTTAATTTGATTATAATTCAAGTGATCACCAATAATAGACTTATTTGTGCATTAATATTCAACCAACATAGATAAACAGGTTTAGGATTAAACATATTGCTTGCATGTTAGTCAGAAAGCGCACATGAATACGATCAGAATAAAGTAGAGGCCTATTATTAGGGCAGGTTCAATCTCTTTTAGGTTGGATTTGTACCTTCATCCCCGAACTACCAGTCATGGTTCCAGACCTATTGGAGTTGAAGATCTCATGGATCGTTAAGGGGTTTAACCTTCACCTCGTGAACGGTTTACAAGTTCCTAAAACTTGTTGGCAACTCTTTTGCTCTATCTTCCTTCCCTTTGGACGCCACCATGCTTTAGTGTATGATCACAGTGGGGTTCAAGCTAGGGGGTAATGCTTGAAATATTCCCTACAGTTTTGGCGACTCCACTGGGGAGGATTTCTATTTTAATTCCTGAATTTATTTCGGCAATGATTTAGAATGAGTGGATGAGACTTAAAAAGTTCTAAGTATTTCATGTGCGTAATTTTGATTAACATTATTGTCATATGCATAAAAAAGATCTCATTGGAAAGACCATCCGTAATGAGTTAAAACATAGGATTTTTACACGTAGGATATTTGATAGAATCGAAATAATGCTGCTCGAAACTGGAAAATTTTATCGAGCATAGAAAGCTGTTGAGGCATGTAGGAACTAGCGTCAGGGAACAAAGTCTAGCGCCAATTATTTGACTTTAGCGCCAGGCGACAGCTACTGTCCCCAAGCACTAAAGCCAAATTGTGGCGCTGGCCTCTGTTTGCTGGCGCCAAGTTCTTCCAATACCGAGCCAGAAATATATGTTCTAATTTTGACCAGTTTTTAGCACTGTTTGCTCGATCCTACTTCCTAATTGAGTTTTTCTCACTTTTCTCAAACCCATATGTGTTCTACATATGGACATAACCGTCTCGGAATTCATGCTCCATCTACCTGATTGAACGCTCTGAGCAACAAAAGGTACATCCGAGAATGTTGAATTCACCAAACCATGGAAACGAGTTTTTCTAAACTCGCGGTGTCCCATCCACTCGTGCTAACCCTTCACGGTTAGGCTTCCGCGCGATGCATCCGAAAAATTAACCATGGATCCTCTATTGACTAACCCATATCCCGAACTTTAGAGAACTAGAGCCATGGCTAGGTTGCAAACTCATTGCATCATATTGTGCCTACTTGACTAATTGTGCATTATTTGTTGTGCATAC